ACCATGTCCCTCAACACAATATCCAAATGTTCCTTGAACAACTCCAGGGTCGGTGTCTCCACCACCTCTCTGGGCAGCCCATTCCAGCGCCCGACCACCTTTTCAGAGTAGTATTTACTAACATCTAGCCTGAACCTTCCCTGGCACAGCTTGAAGCCACTCCTTCTAGTCCCATCACTAGTCACACGAGAGAAGAGGCTGACCCCCAGCTCACTACAACCTCCCTTCAGGTAGTTATAGAGAGCAATAAGGTCTCCCCTGAGCCTTCTCTTCTCCAGACTGAACAATCCCAGCTCCCTCAGCCACTCCTTGTAAGACCGAGCTGCATCAGTCTTATAACCTTAGGCAGATGTATTCTGATGATATATACACTTTGTGTCATCCTCATTTGCCTATTGAGGAAAAACTACTGCCCTGTGTAAATAGTATTCCAGCCCTGCCACCAACATTTCAGACTCGCTCTGAAGTTTTAAATTTGCTTTGTACTACAACTGTATACCTAGAAATAAAGCTTCTCTCTTTCAAAAAAAAATAAAAATAATAATAATAAAAAATTCAGTAAATTTATATCATAAAATGGTATTTTCCCTCAGCCAATTCTAACACCTTTGGATGTTTAAGATAATAGATTTCCTTTAAAATTAACTTAGGTTTCACAAGAGTTCCACTTACGTCTCCAAATCTTCATATTCAGAATATATTCACTCTGAAGATAGTTTTGTTGTAATAAACTTGTGAAGACTTATCAGTAAATGATCATCATCCTTTGTTTTTTTTTTCATTGTTTATATTCTTTTGTGGGAGTACAGTTACTGGAATGGAGGTTGTTTTTCATGTCTGCAACTTTCATCGTGAAACACTCAACTATCTGGCTATAAAAAATAATTTTCTGAAATATTTAAAACTGCAACATTGGCAGCAATTTATTTAATGGGGAAAAAAGAAAAAAACTAAAAATGAATTTACTGCACAGATTTTTTGGAAATGCAGTGTTTCCAAAGTTTAAAAGTTTTTAGATCTAAGGTTTTATTTTTGGTTCATCTACAGTAATAACTTTGTCTTTCTGAAATTAAAATGCTGGTGATGTTAAACTTGCAATTATACATACTTCTTCTATTTAATAATTTCATTTAAGATCTTCAAATGATACATAAATATTAAGAGGGAAAAAAAAGGAGATGTTCATACTTTTTTCTTCATGAAGAACATTGCTTAAAGGTTGTATTTCACAGTCATTAATATTTTAAGTGTTATGAGTGAAATGCTAACTTGCTGCGAAGCAATATATTTTAGCCTAAGCATGTCCATATATTTTCATTTACATTCTTTCAGTTTAAAAGTGCACATGAAAAACTGAAGATTATTCTGACTTCTGGGAGAGGTAGCAGCAGAACTACTTTTTTATTTGATTTAATTTACAAAATATCTTAATTTTTTTTCTTAAAGTAAATATAGGAGTTCATCTATGCTTGAGGATTGTCAGAATTATAACTTCAACTTTAGAACTTTAGAACTTTAGAAGAATTATAACTTTAGAACATAAAAATCTGTAACTTTTTTCTGAAGTGTTAGTCAGTCAGGGCTCATCTTCGTGACCAAGAAATAACTTGCGGTGAGGTGGTAGGAGACCATCTTACTGCTTAGGTTTTGTCCAGGAAGTAAAGACTCAGGAAAGGTGTTGTGGCATCCAACGGAAAATGAGAGGCAGACACCATAAAATATTTTATTGACTGTGAAACTTACATGGAAACCTCAGATTTTGAAGTCGTCACATCAAAGATTTTCACATGCTTCAGAGACTTTGAGAATTAATGCATTCAGGGATTGAAATGAGAAGATTGGCTATGGTTTCTGTGCCACTGTTGGGCCATTAGCTCTTTAGAGTTTGATATAAGGGCTGCCAAAAATTATATTTTGATATCTGGGTAAAAAAAAGCTACTTTTCAATTTTTCCATTAATTAATATCTATTGATTATAACTTGTTTTTTGAAAACTTAAAAGCATTAAAAGAAATAAAGTTCACTCATAAAAATAAAAATTCTTCCCCTGAGTAAAATCAGTAGAACTTCCATACATAGCTAGGCATTTTGATATAATAGAAGTACTGTCAAATCAGCAACATTTGCAGCAGAAGAGGAACTAGGGAGGACTGAGTTCCTGTCTCTTGAGTCTTAAAAACAGTAACTTCGACTTCTTTCTTCAACTTTATCACTGTAAGGTTTCCAGTGCAAAACTCCATATATTTTATCCTAAAACCTCTGCTCAGTTTTTCTCCTTCTCTTCTGCACAACAAATCTCTCTACTGCAAGGACCTTTTCCCTCCATTCCCAAATCCAAAATTGGCGCTCACTGTACCCTGTTTCTCTCTCACAGCTTTTAAATATCTCCAGTTGTTTTTCCTCCACTCCATTTTCTATCTTCTCTGTGTTAAGACAAAGTATGTGCTGTTGCCTCTCTGGAGCTATACGTAAAGTGATAGGCTGGCCAGTAAGTGTGCTGATTGGCCATTTGGCTGCCAGCAAAGAAAAGGGCTTCTATCACTCAGTCATTCAGCTATTCTGCAATATTACAGGTGTTTTACAAGATTTTGTACAGAATTTCTTTTGAGCTTGTCAAGAAAATAGGACGTGTGTTCTTAGCTGTTCTTCAAAAGTAAATCTGTACTTTGGTAAGGATTACGTTAGTTCTGTGCATTTACATTTTCTCCCCCCCTCCCCCTCGAAGTATTTTAGTTATTAGCAACTAGCAGAAATGCTTAATGTCTTTACTGTGGAAATAGGAAATCAGGATGTTGATGTTCCTATTGTACCTGGTAGAAATAGCTAGCAGTGCTTTGCCTTGTTTTTGTTTGTCCTGAGCTAGAAACATCCAGAAGTTCTTCACTGAAATAATGCATTTATGCAATGTCTGAAGGATGACATTAAGAGTTAGCAATGGCTAAGTGTTTTCTGTATGTTTGGTGTGCTCTGTGTTTCAGTCTCACCCAGATAGAAAAGGACTGTTTTGCTTTGATTCCAACAACCATTGAGATTGATGAATAGATGGGAACAAGCTGGCTGAAATTAATTGTGATAAAAATGAAAAAAATTGTTATAAGGGAAACAACTGAAGGCCTTGGCATTGGTTAGGTAAGGAGCTCTTCATTGTGAACATTCAGTTGCAAAGATTTAGCTGAGATCTCATTTTGGAAATTTGTTAAAGTTTGTAGTCTTAAAATTACTAAGCATTATTACTGTTTCATTATTCTTTTGGAAATACATGCTTTTTAGTAATACATATTTGTGATTTCAGTTCATACTTCAGTTTTCACTGGACTGAACTGCTGCCATGTAACTCATGGAAGATATTTATGTAGAAGATAATGTTTGTATTAAGCAAATCATCTCACCCTTGTTGTGTAATGCTGGTGCATTGTATGTGAAATTTCAAAGACTCTTTTTGTTTCTCTCTTGGCACATAGCAAGTCACAAAAACATGTCATGGTCAATTTCAGCAGCCTGATTCTGAGGTTGTGATAGTCTCAGATGTGATACAAGGGTGAGAAGTTCTTGGGCATCCCTAGTTCATGACACTTGACTAGTCCCTTTCACAAGACTATCCATTGTCGCTCCGGTGTCATCTTTGAAACACTGACTGGAGGTTACTATTGTGGAACATTGTTCTAAGGTCTTGATGTCATCCTTCAGATCTATATTAAAGCTAATTAAGCATTTTAAATGCATACAAATATAAAGAAATAGCAGAAGACTGAAGGACGTTTCTAGAGTTCTGATTTCATCTCCTTTCAACCTTTGCTGTCTTCCATGCCTTAGCAATAGGGAATACAATTTTTTGTATGAGAACATCAGAGAAGGTTTTCAGAAGTGTATATTTTCATACTCTTCTATTTCCATTACTTTCTCATATTGCATTCCTTGACAAGTCATCTTAAAATTTGCAATATATTCCTTTATTTAATACTTTTCACTTTGTCCACGCTATAACTTTTTAGCCCTGTTGTATTTTTGCATAAATCTTGAAATATTCAAAATTTGATAGAAATTCTGCCCAATTTGAGGTAAAGTAGTTTGAGGTAAAGTAGTGTAGTTTAAGGAAATGATAAGCTCTTAACACTAGTGTGTTTTTTGTTTTTTTTTTGTTTTTTTGCTTTTGTTAGTTGGAAAAAAAAGACTAGCTCATTAACTGCAGAGGCTGTTGCATGAATTCCAACAGGCAATGAGTCAATTTCAAAGTTATATGATAAAAAATGGCACTGACAGATGTCGTATTTTTCTGAACAAAATTAATGCTTATATCTAAGTGATGTTTTTCAATAACATTTTCCCGAAGTGATGTAAGTGAAATGGAGACACTATACTTCTCCTGTGTGCATTTCAGTTTTTTGGCATTTCTTTTAAATAGCTTATCTATTTCAATTGTTTCAATTGTTATGAAGATATTTTTTTTTCAGTAATATGATATTTATATTTTTATTTTTAATGAAAATTCATATTTCATAGTGGATACAAGAAAATGTTCAAACACAGTTTGTACCTGATTTCACTTAGAATCCTGTCTGAATTTCAGGGAAATCTTCAAACTCGAGTATACTTTTCTCTATTTTAATATTACGTGAAATTTATTATGATCCTTTTTATTGTCAACATCAGTGTAAAGTTGGTGATTTCCATCTTTAAGACAGTAACAAGATTCTTAATGATTTTAATGATAATTTTCATACTTAATAATTTGAATATTCAAGTCAGTGAAAACTTGGAACTTGAGTTCCTCTTCACATACATATTGAATGGATGTAGAAAGGTCTGTGGACAAATCATGTTTTGCAGGAGTACTGAATATGTGTTTTGTAATGTTTTGTAATTTTCAGTTATAAATTGGATATAAGTCGCATCTTTCTTACATGTGATCTGAGCTCAAAAGATTTTTCCTACTTAGTTTTCAAATATATGTAATTCATGATGATCACTCCTTAATTTTCAAAACTTGAATTTTTTTACAGATAAAAAGCTATGGTGGGCAGACCAGAATTTAGCTCAGATTGGAATTTGTAACAAACGGGATGGAAGAAACCCAACTATCCTACGAAACAAGACTTCAGGTGTTGTGCACATGAAAGTATATGATAAGGCAGCGCAGCAAGGTAAATTTTAAAATTTTTAACCAGCTATTAGCTTGTCTAATGATTTTTTCCCATGTTATTTTCCAAATGTTCTTAGAAAAAACAAGAAATTGTCATTTGTAATTCAATTGTGAAATACCATAAAACATTTTAGTATTGAGTACGTTATTGATTTAAGATAATTCGTTATCTTCTCCCTATGTACTTAATTTATTAGATACTCTACAATTTACACTGTAGTGTTGGCTGGAGTTCTATGAAGAGCCTAGGTTTAAATTTTTTGCCAAAAATTAGTGTTGGTACATGCACCTCATCTTGAAGTATTGAAAGTTTAAATAAATGTTATTTAAATAAATGAAGTCATTAACATTCTACATTACTTTTTGCCTTTAAGGCCTTTTAATGCATTTAAATTGACAGAAAATACAGCAGAAAAATTGGGGAATATTACTAATACGGCTGAAACTTAATTGGCAAAGTGGGAATTGATATGAGTAAGTTTGAAGTCATGCTGCACATAATTTTATGAATTTTGAGGTTATTAGAGATGAAGATATTTGGGGGGTTCTTTAGAAATAGATTATTTCTGATTCCAGTGTTGATGGTTGTACTCAAAGGTGCAGATGAGATCTCCATGAAACAAATTTCTTTTTGCGGAGAAGCTTACCAGAGAACACAGAATCAAGTTAAGCTGTCTGATTTCTAATAGACAATCGGTAGTCTAAGTATGGAGCTAGCTGCCTGATGGACAGTAAGTTGTCCAAATATCTCATTAGCCTGTTTTTAGATAGGGAGGAACATTTAATATCTGTTTTTATTAACATACATGTGACTTTTTTGTCATTATGTGTGATTCCATCTTTCTCATAGATATGCAGTAATTTTAGACATTTGACATCCACTCATTCCATGTTGTATCTCTCAGTGTGCAGCTGCTACTTATCAAAGATGTTATTTCTTGGCCTGTGTGGGTTACTGAATGTACTCAGAAAATGGTGGGCAGTGGTTCCATTTCACTTGAGAAAACTGTCACTGAAGCTTATCTGTTGTTGGGAACCAAGCAAAAGAAAATCTAATGTTGACCAAATACTTTTGTATGATCCTAAGAACACTTAAAAGACCACGTAAGACAATGCAACTCAAAATCCTTAAAGAACATAGCAGTGGTTTGATGTAAAGTACAAGATTTTAAGATTTATTTTTAAAATAAATTCCTCAGAAACAAGACTTCTGCTTTGTTTCTACTGAAATTGAAATCCACACCAAGGTTTTCCATTGTATGGTTGCTAGATTTTTTCCATCTGAAATTTCATACTGTTGAGAGGCTACCTTCATAATTGACAGATGCATTAATTGACGTACTAGAATGATATTTTGAGCTACAGCATTTGCAGTTTTCGTTAATAATCTACAAGTAATTTTAGAAGTCGTAACATAATCCCACAGAACACAAGAAAGACTTTTGTAGCTGTTCCACTTATTTCTCTAGAGAGTCTTATTTTAGTTTTGTGTTGACAAAGCTACTGTTTTACCCAGTTTTTGCTTTTCTTTTCCATATTTTTTTTTTTTAATGGAAGATGAATGCAAAGAGCATGGACTTAAATACAATATTCTTGAACTTGTCAGTAAAGTTTTTGCATACACAAGCCGTGTATCTATCAGCAGTTGCTCCCAAATCTCACATGCACAAATTATGTGTGTGTTTTATTCATAAGTGAGATTCAGTCCTGATGATCAGTCATTATCCATGGAATAGTTAATCAACAGGTCTACTTCATAGGAATTTCATCTTTTTTCTCCCTAAAATCACTCATGTTCAGGTTTCCAAAAATTATCAAAATGTGAAATTATCTTCATTATTCTCAGTCTTTGCTTTTAGGGTTCAATGTTATTCACTCAGATCCATATTGAGAACTTTCCAGAAACACTGTTATGGAACCTAGAAAACACCAAAGGTGCTTTGAAAGTCATGTGGTGTGAGGATACATACAGATGCTTCTGTATAGGGTGGTGTTCTGGATTTTATTTTGTGTTCTACAATTTGTCCATTTTTCTTGAAGATGTGTGACGCTTCAAAACTTTACACATCTTTTGCATTTGTATTGTTGGATCACTGGAACACTTTTTTGAATGCAGATGAAGGAATATCTCATGTTTAGGAATAAATACAAATATTTGTTTATATAAATATAAATATACTTTTGTAAATAAAAATAAATTCAATAAGTACTATTCAGATTAATAACTTGTACGTCTTAGTAGATTTAAGTGTTTCTGCGTAGCGCTTCAAATTTCTGAAATGTATTTGTTATATTCTGTATACTATTTATTGCATATTTTATTGAAAAGTGTTTGTACACTAAAAGTAATTGTTTGAGGTCTTAAGTAGGAACATAGGGCTGTGAATTCACATTGGAGGGTATCTTAATTATACCCTCCAATGTATTTAGACAAGTACTAATTCATGGAGATGCAAGGTTAGTATAGCATTTGCTGAACAAATAAAATATGGTCAATGACATGTTAATGGTCCAGAATAAGAGATGCTTTTTAGATTGTCACTGACAATATTTCAGCATAGCTGCTCACTAACTAATACAGTATTTTCAGTTTTATCATATACTTTCACTGTAAAAGGAAAGTTCAAGAAACTGAATTATTTAAAAGAAATAAATAAATATTGTACGAAATAAGCGTTCTTCTTGGTGAATAAGTACCATAAGAGTGTAACATGATCAGGTATTATACAAATAACAGTATAACCTGAAACATTTTGTGTTCTGTATTTGATTTTACCAAGAATTTACCTGAACAAAACTTGTTTTTTGTTACTATTAAAAAATTGATAGCGACGCTCAATGTAATCCTGACTAAAAAAAATTGCTCAGATTGTTATCTCTTGTGTTTTCTGTCCTGTTATGTTCTAGGTAGCAACTCCTGTCAATTCAATAATGGTGGATGTTCCCAGCTCTGTTTACCAACATCAGAAACCACAAGAACCTGTGTTTGTACAGTAGGCTACAACCTCCAAAAAAACCGCATGGCGTGCAAAGGTTAGAAATGCTTTCAGTATTTATTTTTAGCTAACTTCAGTTTTATGGGAAATTGTTAGTAGTTCATAAAAAAAAAAACTTCATTTATTTATTTTGGTGATTAAAATGGAAAAGTTTAGTGTCATGAAGAGACAAATTTAGCATTTAATTTATTTAGCTGTGCATAGCTTTTTATGGAATACTCTACAATATATTTTTCACTTTTTTTTAAATAGTCAGAAAAAGAGACCATCTGATACATTTTGGTCATCCACCTTATCTTGAAATGAATTACAGCCTACAGTCTGAAAGGTTGAGTGTCTACTGCATCTACTGTATCTATTACCATTATTAAAAGTGAAGTCCTATTGTTATACACAACAGCAAAAGGCACTTTATTTTTGAGGTGCCATGGTAGTTATAAACTTTTTTTGTTAATTATTCCTATGGGTGTTGCTATATAGTATATATACAGTATATATACAGTATATATAGTAGACTATAAGTGGAAACAAAATTGAGCAACATAAACATGATTTTCTACTTCAGTGCTTGCCGTATGTTACTTGGCAACATTTTTTTTTCCTTCTAATGTATTCTTTTGTACTTCTTTAGAAAGTTATCTTCAGTTTAGTTGTGGGTAAAACTAGTGAATGTTGCATTTTTGAATAGTTTTCTAGATGATAACAGATTTGATGATTGAATTTTCCTTTAATTTAATAGAGGTAATTTTACTTTTTATTTTTATATTTATTTTTATTTTTTATGAAAACTCATGAAAAAGCTAATAGGTAGTATTCCATGCAGATATATCTGTTTAGTATTGTTCATTTAATTTACTAAATAGATTTCATATTCTTTGGAAGAAAATTTGTAATATTACGTCTGTAACATTTATTATACGTTCTTAAGTTATTCTACTAGCCATATTTTTACAAAGAGAAATTTTAAAAGAAATGATGTGAAGGAAAAGAAAAGAAACCTGTTTATCATAGCTGAACTTCAAGATTGAGAGTTGTATATCAGCATGCTGTGTCATTTCCCTTAGAAAAGTTAGAATAGCTTAGGACTTAGAAGAGTTTTATTACAAGGACTTGGAGATAAATGCAACAAAATACTTGTTATAATTTTGTTTATCAAGAGGTGTGATTCATTTCAACTGTTCTTCCTACTTAATAGAAATTGATGCTTCTGTTTTTTCATGAATGTAGCACAAATGTAGACATTTGAAGTGTATCCAAAGCATGATTTTCTTAAACTATGTACCTGTCTATTGTTTGTAAAGGGTGGGTGCATGACTGAATCAGGAGAGATGCGTCTCATGCCTCAGAAGTTGTTTTACACAGTCCTGAGTTGCACTTTCATTGAGTTCTGTGGAACTGTCTCTTGCTAAATACATAAAACATGGACATGCACTGAAAATATTCTTAAACGCCTCATAATTCAAAGTAGTTTCTTCTTAGTTTAAATTTTCATTAATATTAATTAATTGTGAGATGGTGCTTGAAAACGAACAGTAACTCCCTCCTATTTGTACAACTGTATTTATAACCAGAAATAAGGTATAATAATTGATGGATTTTCTTTTAAAGAGTTGAATTCATCATTCTGGACAACTATGGAACAGCATAGAAGAACTCTGTTATTAATTCCTCAAGTGTTGTTAATAGGGGAAGTCTCCATTTTGCTCTCCTTACCTATTTGATTTTTCCCTTAGGTATAGAATCATTTGTTATGTATTCTGTTCATGAAGGGATTAGAGGAATTCCTCTTGACCCAAATGATAAAATGGAAGCTTTAATGCCTATATCTGGAACCTCATTTGCAGTGGGCATAGACTTCCATGCAGGTAAATATTCTGTATAGTTTATTGTGTTTATGTTAGATATTTCCACTGCTTTTAAAAATGGAAAAGAAAACAATTGAAAACTTCTAAACAGACCTCTTCCTTCTTATTCAGTTTGACTGCTTCATCACACAAATATCACTAATCTTTTGCCAACAATTAAGAAGTAAAACTCATTCAACTCTTCTCTACCTTTGGCCTACCTTTTTCGTTGATGGTTTTGTACCTCTACTTAGCAAAATTTCAAGTTCACTTAGCATTTCACAGTGCCACCTTACTTGCATATTTTGCCTTCAAACCAGTGCCAGCTAGCGCTCAGTGCTTTAGTTATATCCTAGGATATCATTCACTGTTTGCTCGATGTAAAAATAACTTCAAAAAATAATGCCTTTAGCTGAGAGTTTACTGTATCAAAAAGTGTTTTTGTGTTCTTTGTATCTATTGTAGTTTCCATGGAAATAAATAGGAGGCGTTGTTTTTCAAGAGATCTACCATAAAATCCTGAACTACAGCACATTATTGGAATAATATATGGAATGTTATTTGTATTTGTAACCTACAAGAATCCTTATTAGTTTAGTACAAATTAATTTAGTGGGTATTTTTCACTATGGAGTGCAAGAGTGTAATTGCTTTTAAGCTATCAAAAGGTATCTGATAATCAAAGAGTATTATCCAATGCAATATATAGAATGTAGCAACTGGAAAGTTTTGCATAGAATAAATAACATTTATCTATACTTAAAGTATATTTATTCATTTACCTTGACGCATCTTTAAGTAGTTCTATCAAAACATCATATTCAATATATTTTACAGGATGATTATAACATTTCCATACTTAACTTGTTAGTATTTATTTCTAAGTTTGTTTTCTAGAAGCATGGTGCTTTGAACTTCCTCTTGCAGTACTGAACATACTAGCAAGAGGATTAAGGAAGAAACCATGCTGTCACAGGAATCTTTTCTGAAATAAAATTCATTTGCTATTGTCAGCTACTAGACCAGTGGTATCTCCTAAAAATGAGGGGTTTTTAGTTCTCTTAAGGGTGATGTAAGAAAGACTTTTTGGTCTCTCTGCTGCTTGGTTTCTTCTTTTTTACAGTATTTCCTAGATTTTTTTGGAGTGATTGTCAGCTGTCAGTATGTGGAGTTCTTATGCACAGTTATCACAGAATTATTTTTTTCTAGTAATTGCTTTGATGTTATTAATGAGGTATTGTTCAACAGAGTTCTAAGAATCCATTTCCAGTTTGAGAATATTACATCTTGCAGTTTCACTTATTTGGTTCTTCCTACTCTCTGTTGAATAAACTTGTATGCTTACACTAAAATAAATCTGAAGGCTCAACCTGTCACCTGGAAGCAAAGCTGTTGAAAGATTCTCAACAGCTTCATCTGTGAAGTGGAAAAGCAAGGTAATGAATAGATGTTCAATCCTTCACCCTTGACCTGGTTGATCTCGAGGAAGACAGCTTCAACTGGAAAATTCTAACTCTTAAAGGCAGTAGGAGCACTGGCTGTAAGAGGTTGTCCTTCCCAGGTGGAGTACCTCATTCTGGAAAACTTCAATTAATTTCTACCAAATCAGAACGTATACTGCAACATGGCTGTGATAGCTCTGAGCTCTGACAACAGAAATAGATGGAATTGTGCTTGAGGGATGTCATCACTTGGTTTTCCCCATCCATTTACCGGTGGTACTTTGTGGCAACAGAGAAAAATGCATGTCTGTGCTTTCTCCACTTCAAATTCTCAGCCTGGCCTTTGAGTTTAAATGGTCAGTGAAAGTAACTCTGTACTCAGATGCTGAATAGTGGTCCGTCTCTTCCTTTTTATGGACTGTTACCTGCAGTGAAATGGCATGGTAAACAAATTCAAGAAATACTTTAACACACACAAAAAAAGAATCTTAGCAAAAGCTAATCAGACATTTATAATATAAGATGAATTAGGTATTTTTTGCACTTTTTATTCACTTATCATATCACTCAAATTTATCACTTTTCTTCCTAGTTAAATTTTTTGATATTTTCAGAACTTAATCTGAATGATTACATATTTTATGGTTAATGATGTAGACACCTGGGCTAAGTTAACTAAATTAATCCAAGAGTTTCCATTATGTTTTTTATAGGTAATGATACAATCTATTGGACCGACATGGGTTTCAACAAAATTAGCAGATCTAAACGGGACCAAACATGGAAAGAAGACGTTGTTACAAATGGCTTGGGAAGAGTTGAAGGCATTGCAGTGGATTGGATAGCAGGTAGGAGTCTATTTGCACCAGGTATTGTTATGACTTCTGACTGTATGCTCTTGCATTTCCACTCATTACTAAATAATTTGATATGCTTTCATCACTAATATATAATGTTCCAATTATGTAATACTTTTTGTTATTGTTTTTTTAGTATATCACAAAGATGTTGTGTTGTTGTGGGTTTTTTTTATTTGAAGTATGGTGTGTTCTTTTTTGGTGTGGAGGGAGTTCAGTTTAATGAAACTGAAAAAGATATTTAACTGTCTTGCTTCTTATATGGATAGTCACAACTGTGACAACCAGCAATACAAGTTTATACTTGAAAACAGAAGGACTGAAAAACTAAAATATAAGATGCATGCAGTTTAAAATATAGGAGTCAGTTTCTGGTTTTAACTTATGCATTTAAGATTTTTAAGTTTCTGAAATGTTTTCTTTTTTCAGTAACTTCACTATATTTTTCCTAGGTAACATATATTGGACAGATCATGGCTTCAACTTAATTGAAGTTGCCAGGCTCAACGGCTCATTCCGATATGTAATCATATCTGAGGGTCTGGACCAGCCAAGATCTATTGCAGTACACCCCGAAAAAGGGTAACATGACTATGGCTACATATTTTTTTTTTACATTTGCTTGTTCACAATGAAGTTTTTAGGAATCAAGGCCTTTTTTTCTAATATAGTTGTTTAATAATACCCAAAAGTACGGTAATGGGATGTATTTTGCTATATCTGGACCCAGGTGGAAGGAAATGTTCTTAAGATATCCTGAGAATTTTCATGAGTTTCATGAGAATTTTCATCTGCAGGAAGTACTATATTTTCTCTGTGCAAGCTTTCACTTTCTAAGATGATCATTTTAGCTGAAGTGTATCCTTTGCATGGAAACTTGCTTAAATCTGTTAAGTACTTAAGTTTTCAGCTTACCCAAGAAGTCCCACTGTCTAATGAAGACCTCACTGTGATGGTGAAATAGTTTAATGGCATATTCTCTGATAGTTATAAATACCAATATCAGGTAACATCACTCTGCATCAACCAAGGAGATTACCCAGAGTAGCTGAAAGCTATGTCAGATAAACATATGGGTAACTCCTAAAAATTGCATCAGTTCTCATCCCACTGTTTGATGAGACTACAATGCATCTCTAATAGAAATGAGAAGTTTCTATTCCTTCAGGCTATAAACCTGATGGAGAGCTACAAGTAACACAGAAGCAGTAAATTCTCCAAAGAATTTCCATCTTTTTCTTTTCCACTGGAATATGAAATGTACTTTCTGAGTTGATTTACAACTGAACAGATTTAACTGCTATAATTGCCTTCCTAAAATGTAAACCGCATGGTGTGCATCAAAGTTTTAAAGAAGCATTTGAAAATGTACCTCTTCCCAAACCAATAGACAAAGCTGTGTCGCTTATTTTCCCCAGGCTCAATTAAAACAGTATCACAGTATGTTCAGGAATGCAGTTTCTGTATTCAGCTGGAGGAGTCTCCATCTCTAGTAATGAAGAATTCTGACTTCTCAACAAGAATTGATGTAAAATATTGTTTGCAACTTGCCCCAATTTCTTTTATGAGAACATAGTTTTAGTGAACTGTGTATTTTGCAGATTAGAAATGCATTTAAAAGTGAAGGTGAAAGTAAAAGTAGGTTTTATTTTCTGCATAATGCAGTTGCTTGTGTCACAAATCATTATGACTGGGTTTGTGTGGCACCACTGATATCTTAGCTGTATCTCTTCATAGTTCAGAATTTAAGTCGTTCATCAGGATCTGGATAATTTTTTTTACTTTGTGCTCAATGTGTTCTTACGTTAAGAAAAAAAAGAAAAAAAACAACTTTGCAGAATATTGTATAAGAGTCCAATAAAATTCTTTAGACCAGAAAAGTACACCAAAATTCTTCAAAACAGTATTTCATTTACAGTGTAGTTTTCCTCAGCATGTACATAATATACTTAGATAAGTTCTGTGAAAACATAAAAGCTTGGACTCTTTGGTACTGTGCCACAAAGTGCTCTATTCAGATGACTCCAATCAAAGTTAATTCATGCAACTAGGATAGCAATATTTTTGTAGTGAAGTAAATGTATACCTTTATAGACGAAGATAGAGACCTGCTTATCCTCTGCGTTATTGTCATCTCTTTCCCTTTGTTAGGCAAAACTTTCAAAAGTGTTCCTCCCTTCCTGCCCTCTTCTTGCCCTGTCTTCACATTTTTCATTTCTCTTGAGGCTTGAGTTGACAGCTTTAAGAACAGAATGGAAAATAGTAGTTATTTGATCTCATTGAATCTGCCCATTATACCAAGATATGAAGCAGCCAGCATTCTGTTGGTTGGTAGCATTATTTAAAGTTAAGAATGTGTACTTCTATAAAGGAGTGTCCTTCTCCCTCATCAGGAGTACTTATTCATTTAAAACACGCTTGGTTTCCATTTTTCTTCTACGATTAAATAAGTTTTCTGAGAGAGCTCAAAACTGTGCTTGAAATACAGAGTAAAGGTCATTCTGAAATATTTCTTAGACTTTGAATCTTCCTCCATTGAAGACATTTGGGAAACTTCATTTGTGTTTGCATTGTTGAATTTTAAACTCCTATTTTATTTTCTTCACAGATTTTTTTAAAGTTAATTCTACAACCACATCAAAATTTTGTCATTTGCATCTATGTGTCAGCTACTTGACTTATATGTGGGGTTGTTCCTAGAAATGTTGTCGTCATTCTTCTGGCATTGCAATATAAATACCAAATAGCTAGGTAGCATAACCTAGCAGCAAAGGTGAAAGTATTTTAGAGCTTCTAAGAACATTTGGGAAGATCAAATTTTTTCTAAGCTATGTAATGATTTACTGATGTTAATATATCAATATATTTCTAACCATCAGTGCTCCAGTAATGTCTTAAGTAATGTGTGTTACCCTTTCAGGATTTTCTTTGGAGGCTTCTAGGTTTTTTAATATCTGATAGCTATGTTTTTTTTAATGTTGTTTGGTTGGTTTAAATAACTAGGCTGAGAGAATACTGCATAATTGAATATCAAATGCTTGCCTTTCTGTAAGAAATAATTAGTTGGTATCCTGTGTTCAGGATATTCACCTCTGACCAGACCTGTGAATACAAGTTCAGTTACGTATAAAAGTGCTGTTACAAATCTCAGTAAAGGAAGCACTGTCTTCAGGTTCATTAGCCTCCTCCTGCTATGTCTAAAAGATTGAAAAGGAGAAATTTATCTTAGCATCTTACCTTGAGTCAGTTATGTGTCTGTGCCAATAAGTATACAACAATGCATACAGAGATAAGTAAGGTGAAAACTTTTCCCATGATCGTTAGGGAGGCTAGCAAAATAACTTTCCCCTACCATTTCTCTAAATGCTTTCCTATTTAATGTTTTTTTTTTCTTTAGACATCCACATCTCATGTTTTATCTCAATGTTTGTTAGATGTGTGATTTTGTTCCAGCAATTTCTATTTTAGTTTTATTTTCCCAAGCACCAAACTATATTCTTAAAGCAGAGGATTGCACATTGACTGATAAATTATGATTTTAAGAGTTACTTCATATGTAACAACTTGGGGAAAAAAAAAATAAAAATTGTCTAAGTAGTTTATCAAACCAGTACATTTATCCCCTAAAGGTTATTCAAGGATGTATAAACATGATTATGTTTTAAAGTACCTATTTGACAGTGATGATGCATTCATTTTGTTTTCAATTGAAAGACAGTATTATACATTTTCATCTCTTTGTTTTTCTGTTAAATTTTAATAGGTAATTTGTATAACTTTTTAGGTATTTATTTTGGACAGAGTGGGGACAGATTCCTTGCATAGGAAAGGCGTATTTAGATGGATCTGAGAAGGTTGTTCTTGTGAGCCTGGGGATTGTGTGGCCTAATGGGATTTCAATTGACTATGAGGTTAGTTTCTTTGTTTTCCATTATAATTTGAAATGGTTGGTATCTATTATGTTTCATTAAAGTCAATGTCTTCCACTTCACAGCAATCTTAGTAACTCTTAATGAAATACTTGGACAAGATTTTTGATGTTTCCTTTAAAATTAATCTTTAGGAAAATAAATTATATTGGTGTGATGCTCGTACCGACAAGATAGAAAGAATTGACCTTGAGAGTGGAGGGAATCGGGAGATTGTGCTGTCAGGGAGCAATGTGGATATGTTTTCAGTTGCGGTGTTCGGAGCTTACATCTACTGGTCTGACAGGTAATTTATTTTTCATAAGCATTTGAGTCTCAAAATGTTATTTCAGTGCTAGGTGCTTCACCTTTGTAGGATTAGCCGTTCCTTAGCAAGGTCACAGAATGGATCTCAGAAAGCTGTGCAGTTTGAAAGAGAGGGTATTTCTGATACTGAAACCTAAAGCATATCAGTATCATAGATGAGAGTAGGTTTTTCACCTTCTGTTAGATGAGCTCTCCACTGCCCTTCAGTCATTTGTTTGGTGTGAAGTAGTTGAGGATTGTTGATCAGACATCTTCAACTTTTTTGACAGAGCACATGCAAATGGCTCTATTAGAAGAGGCCACAAGAATGAGGCCACGGATGCTGTGACCATGAGGACTGGCCTTGGAATAAACCTGAAGGAAGTGAAAGTCTTTAATAGAGCACGAGAGAAAGGTTGGCTGTTCTTAAGGATAATATTGTTTTAATATCAACGGTGGTACTTTTTATGTATATTAAAACATATAAAAAGTTAAATACTCACTGATTAATGGCAATAAATTTTATTATATCTCCATTTTTTTCTTAGAGTATTTTTTTTAGCTAAGATTTATTTACTATGAAAATATGTAGAAAAGTTTCTTGTAAAACCCTCTGAGCATTTTGAGGAGAAAGTGTGAAATCAAAATACTGCCCCTCATTCCCTTTTTTTTTTCTCCTGAAAGCACCCAAGTCTTAGGAATGAGGTGGACCTTGAACTGTGCTTTAGAGAGCAGCAGTATCAGGCTGTCTCACATTTCTGTTGGAAAGCAGTACACACAGCTAGAAAATCTCAGTCTCTCAAATACTTATTTCCTGAGATTTCTTGGTCTTGAGTCCAGCTTTTTTGTGTGGGAATACTTGTAAATAGTTAGATATCATTTATATTTAATTTGCTTTGCAATTGAATAGACAATTTCATATACTGACTGAGAGTATGGTAGAAACGGATTAATTTTATGCCCCACTAAGTAGGATCTTTTAACTATTTTTTTCTCCTCAAATTTTAATTCTGAAGAGGCTTTAAAAAGCAAAGACTTTTGTGAGAAAATAACGACAAAAGTTTATCACCTTTGTATGCAAAATGTATTTGTTTCTGTGAGCTAATGTCATTAAAGTCTATCAAAAATGACATTTCCTTAGAGCTGCTAACGATGAAATTTAAAGTATGTGTTCAAAAACACTGAAAAGGAAAATACTACTTGAAAAAGATGTTTTTTAAGAAGATATTTGTGATAGGAATATAATTCTAGTGTTGGTAACACTCAACACTTGTTTTAATCACAGCATCACATATCTGATGATCAAGTTTTTATATACATCTTTCCTAAATAACTGCATCAAATATAAAATGTAAAATAAATCTGCATTTTGAAAGACCTATTTAAAAGTCAGCAAAAAAAAATGTTTCAAATTTTTTCTCAAATGAATTTGAATAAGTTTGAGAACAGTGAACATATTTGTATTTTGCAAAGGAGTTCTACAAGTATTTTCACAGTTTTGTAGACATTATTTGTGGATAGTAAATGTCCACAGAAAGAATGGATGTTATTGCTTTTAACAAGGCTAGAAATAGTTAATGTCTGCTTGCTTGGAAGGGCCCTCTGTATAGAATTAAGAAAATGGAGCAATTGGATAAAAATATGTAATGATTTTTATTAATGGCTTGACAGATTTGGTTGCATTAGGAATGGGAGACATGGTTACTGAGGCTAAAAAAAAATTTGATGTTAGTTCGAAAAACATAACTGAATGAGTTTTTAATACATTTTTCAAATTTTACTAGGGTACAAATGGTTAATGTCTTTGGGAGGGGCTGTCAGTGAGCCAGGAGGACAAAAGGGAAAAAAACAGGTGAAAAATATTTTTGGAATGTTTTTTTCTGTATCACTCTATTATATTTTATCTATGTATACTTTTAATTTTGCTGAATTAGAAGTAGGTAATATTTCTTAAAAAAGGAAAAGGAATTAGCTAGTTGACCTTTTATTAAAACAAATAAATAGAAAAATAAGCAAACAAAACCACCACCACCAACAACAACAAAAAAAAAAACACAAAAAACCCACACAAACAACCTGTGCTGATTGTCAAGTGATCAATGCTTTTTTTTCAAACACCTGTTTTATCTTTTCTGATGAGCCAGTCCTGCTGCAGTGCTACTCTTGAGGATAGTCATTCTTTAGTTGTATTCTACACATGTGAAAGGATGTGCCCTAATTAATCTGTTTTTATAACTGGCTGGTTTTACAGATACTTACAGCTGGTGAACTGTGGAAGCGCTGAAGTTTACAAGAGAGATTGTAGAAACTTTAGGATCTCTTCCATGTATTTGCCTTTCTCTTCTCAAACTCTCAAATCCTTCCAAACAGATATTAACTTTTCTAGCCTAATAAAGCTTCAAAAGTGTTTTTAAAAGAAACCACAAGCAAAAATATGTGCAGATAATTCTTCACATATTTTTGCATGAATATAGTGCAACATTTCTCATAATTTTGTCAAAATTCAACACTGCTAATGTTAACTCTCATTCCCCATTGCTTTTACTTAAACGTATCTTGAAATGTAGCAGTTAAAAAATTCAGTCAACGGTACTTTCAGACACTACATGTTCCCTGACAATGATAATGGTTTTCTACCAGAAACTATTTGAAGTGTGTGGGTTTTTTCTCCTTCACTATCTAGAAAACTTTCAGAAATGGGAAAATGACTATACTGAGAGAGCCGAGTTGTTGTATGGAAAGTGCTGTCAGAAATAAAAACTAACTTATCTGAACTAACTATAATTGTATTTCATACATAGTCCAAAAAATACGAAGGTAAATAGATCTTAATTATTGACAATTACTGCAATTTTAAATATTGCTTGTAATAAGTGTAGTTTATGTCACTGAAGTTACTAATGTGACAATGATTATTTAATAGTATACTTTGTCAGAGAGTAAGTTTTTAAAGTCACGTTTTAGAGTAAATTAAAACAAAAACGTCAGGAAACATTTTTATTAAGAACAGAGAATAAAAGGGAACATTTTTATACCTGTTTTCGTTTTGATAGAAATTAAAAACAGTACAGTATTGTGATGGTATCCAAATTTGTCTCTTTGTCAGTAACAGGTGTTTTAAAAAAAAATTCTCTCAAAACACTTGGAACAACTCATAATGGTCTCTATCCAAGTCTTCTATCTGAACACAGAGGAAAAATCTATTTATTTTCTTTTTATAAAGTATGTAGTTTTGTTAATTGGGAGAATATTCATTACATTTCCTCATATATTGTATACTTAAAAATTGGCTTTAGTTCATTGTTGAAGTTATTCTTTACTGCTTTGGCTTTCGGTTCACTTGTATTGTAGAAAAAGCTTAAGAGAAGAATTCTTGAAATTAAAGAAATGACATTTTGATTTACATTAGCTAAAGGTAACAGTATAAAGCAATTTTTTTCTTTTTTTTCCCACACAGGTACTAATGTTTGTGCCAAGAATAACGGTGGATGTCATCAACTGTGTCTTTATCGAGGAAATGCACAAAGAACTTGTGCGTGCGCACATGGCTATCTTGCAGAAGATGGAATTACTTGCCTAAGACATGAAGGTTACCTCTTATATTCAGGAAGGACAATATTAAAAAGTATACATCTTTCAGATGAAAACAACTTAAATTCACCAGTAAGGCCATATGAAAATCCAGAGTACTTCAAAAATGTGATCGCTCTTGCTTTTGACTACAGTCTCAAAGGAAGAGGTACTAATCGGATATTTTTCAGTGATGCACACTTTGGAAATATACAAGTTATTAATGACAACTGGGCTGGCAGAAAAGTGCTAATAGAAAGTAAGTAAATTTTATTTGCCAAAATATTTTCTTTTAATAACCCTTATTAAATGAAAAGTTGTTTAAAAATAAGGTTGACTTCATACTTGTGAAGTCATTAAAATGTTGACTTGATAGGGAAAAACTATAACTAAAGTTTTACTGTATATAGGCATGTACCACAACTATTACCATTTGTACCTCAGTGTGTCCAGCTACCCTTGTAGTCAGCTCAAGAAAAGTGATAGGAAAAGCCAAACTCCAACCTATAAAATTGCTCTTTTTTACAGAGAGGCTTACTGAGTAACTTCAGATGTTTACTATGCCTTCAATCACCACAGTAGTAGGGAAAGTTCTCTGAAATTTGACTTTTTTTTTTGCCTCTGAATACTTGAAGCCTGTAGCTGCTCAAGGAATCAACATCATCACTAAGTCTAGTTTAAGTTTGCCTTGGTAAAACTTGAAATTGAGGCATTTGAGGCCGTATGAGAAATAAAGCCTAAGAATAAAAATCTAAAAATCAGACTAATAAAACTATAAATTGTATAATCTTATGTCACCTTGCATTTCTGTTTGGATGTAATTTTTCTAAAATAGACAGTGTCATTCATCTGTAAGCATATATTTACAGTTTCTTCTCTTCTTCGATTGTTTTGGTAGCCCTTTTCTGTAATGTTTGAAGTGTTATATCATTTTTTCTTCCTGTGTGATAATTATCATCTCAGTTTCTGATGTCATAAAATTTGCATTGTTGCATTTAGGTATTTGAGGGAAATATTAACAGGACCAAAGAGTAACAGGAAAACATGGAAGTATATTTGGTGTAGAATGCTACCATGTATTAACAGGAATATTTTTAGAGAAGAAAGAAGCAAATGGCTGAAAACTGGTGAAATACTGTTCTAGAACTTATAATTGTTATCATTATGCACGTCTGTCCTGTGGTTTTGGAAAGGTATTCCTGGTAATGGAAACTGCTGATACTGAGTGGAAAAGCATTTTTCAAATATGATACATCACCTTTATTTTTTTTAATCTTATTTTAATTTTATGTGTGCATATTTCAGAGGAGTTAATATATCCATATTGAGATACAAAAGAGAAACTTAACAATATTGTTAAGATGTATTCATTACTCTTAGGAAAGAATTAAGACCTAGGGATTCAGAGCTGAGATTAGCTGTACGTGAGACAACCACTCACCTGTGTGGGGATAATACAGCACTATCTTAACTTAGGTTTTACAAGATATGATGAAAATTATTACATGGGAAATGATTGGAGAATTCTAAATTTAAAATAGACAGGAAAAAGTGATGAAGCAGCAGTGCAGATACAAACTGGATTTTGAAAAGGACAATAAACTATTCCTCATTACTTTATGATTGGCTGTTGTGTAAGAACTAAAAGCATTCCACAGAGCACAGCTAAGAATTACACTTTTAGGAAATAGTTAGGAAGTGTTTCTGCTTGTAATCTTAATATGCCTCATTTCATTTTTCATTATCAGATTCAGCACGCTGAATAATTAAATGTCAGATGAAATGTTGTGCTCTTCCAAAAATGTATTGTATATGCTTAGGATATAGCTCTGAAAAAACTTGTTTTCTAGAGTGTTTCAGGTTTTTTGTTTGTTTGTATTTGTAAATAGAAGGATTATCACATCCCAGTATACGTAACTTTACTTTTCTCCTTTGTGTGTTTTAAAACCTCTTTATATTGAGTCATTGATTTTAAACTGATGTTCTTTGATCACTTCTCCTTTCTTTCCACAATCAGAGACTTTCTATCCCTGTAAACAGATAACAGGTTGACAAGTTCCCTGATACCATAGTAGTATTTGACTAACAGTGATACCTACAGAGGAAAAAAGATGATGCTAAGACTCCTTGACATCAGGCTTTGCATTTCCTATATGACAGAACATTTTCTGATTTCCATGTTGGCTGCGTATGATTAGAAATAAATTATTGAATGGAATCCAGCTGACAGATTTCAGTAATCGTTTTGTTTTAAAATAATATATTTGACTTGCATTTTGCTAACTTTTTTCCTCCTAAATGATAGTAGGCATTTTTGGCAAATTCCCTTTATTGGAAAGGTATGCAAAACCACATGAGTGTTACCTGGTGTGATTCTTACACATGTATGACTTCTTTCCACCTCATTAAACTGAGATCTACAAATCAGACCAAATCTTACTCAGTATTTAAGTCAAATAATGAAAATAGAATACATTATTTGCAAGATATTACTGTCTCAGATTTTTAGTTCAATATTGTAGTTCTTCTACTCATGAAGAACCCATTAGCTGATGTGTTTCTACCTCACTGAAATCAGATATGCCATTCAAACCCAAGACATTATTAAATTTTTCTGCACACTAAAAACAGAGTTAAGATATATAAAGAGCCCTTTATTAAACAGGTTTCCAGTTCACAAAAAACAGATTTACAACTCACAAGCAACCCATTATCTAATATGTTTTTAGCTCACTGAGAATAGATTTACTACCCAGAAACAACCCATTATCTAACATGTTTCCAGTTCACTGAAAACAGATTTACAACCCATACGCAAGCTATTATCTTACATAGTTCCGACTCACTGAATATTGATTTAGAATTCATAAACAACCCATTATCTGACAAATTTTCACCTCACTGAACAGATTTGCAACTCATAAACAACCCATTAGCTAACACATTTTCGGCCCTGGGAAAGTAAATTTACGGCATATAAACAGCTTGTTCCAGTTCACTAAAAACAGAGTTGAGACTCACCAATAACCCAGTACCTGGTAGAGTTCAGTCTTAAGCAGGAAGGAGCAGTGACAGGAAAAAAAAAATAACAAAAGCAAGCAACAGTGTACCATGTGCACAGTATGTCATAACTTAATATCTTTATTTCTGTACAGCATAGGGTTTTAGAATAAGTGTTTTGAATTTTATTTTGTCAGTCAGTTAGTAGGGACTTTCTGTAAGTAACTAGATGGAGTTAATCTTTCTTGATCACTGATTGGAAAAAATTTACCTTCTACTGTCTGTGATTTCTGATAAATTCTTTTGGATAGTGATTTGTCTAACCATTGAGTATTGCTTATGTGTTTTCATTGTAGCATCATGCGGAGTTTAATCCAGTCAGTGGACATGTTTTTGAAGTTGCCACTGTAGTCTATTCTATGTTGTGGCATGGCTACCGTCTAAATAATCTGATTAGATTTTGGTGTTTCCTTTCAAAGAAGAATGCAAAATCTTATATTTTATTGTATGTTTTTGCTTTAAGTAGGCGCTTTGGAGGTATCAGACTATGGAGAAATGAGTGGTATGTACTTTGTGGTCTCACTCATTAATTTCTTCTTAATCTTCCACTTTTTAATCGCGAATATTACTCTTATAGTTAGGTTATAATGCTTCTGCTTCTTACTTTTGACTTAAGCTAGCAATATTTTTGTCTGGTTTTTGTGTCCTGTTGTGCTGTAAAATCTTCAGGAGCCTGTTAAAGCATACTGTGTTTATTTGCATAGCTTTGGGAATTAATGGTAGTCCTGTATGAAACAAAACATGGTCAAAGGCATTGCATTTGGAAAATTCATCCTGATACATCCTTTCTAGGTTAAAATGAAGTAATGGAACATTATACAGAAAGAACAGAAAAGAAAGAAGTCACAAAAAGTTAAAGGCACAGGGTTACATAAGGAGGTGTATGGAAATCTGACTTGTTTAAATTGCTGCAGGTTATCTCATTTGAAACAATAGGGTTTATTCTCAGAATAAGCTCAGAGAGATTCTACACTACTTTTCTTTCCTCTTAAACATTTGTAGACTGAACAATACTGTCATTTCAAATTTCTGAGCTTTTCTATATTATTCAAACGAGAACATACTTCATATATTTTTATCGGAGTGCATATGAAGTACTTCCAGTTTTATGGATCTAAATAGATATCTATCAAAAAATAATTTTAGCATAGTTTGAAAATGAAAAAGTCTCAATGGAAACAAACACGTATTTTATATAAAGGATTTTTAAGATTACATGCTTACTCCTTCTCATACCACGTCTTCCATTGACTAGTGTTTATTTTTTCAACTAAGAAAGTGACGTTGATTTTCTTTTTAATGGTTCTCAGAGAAGAGAATCTTTTTCTACATGGAATTGGAGGTTTCAGTTTGACCCCAAGAAAGGAAAAGGAAGATGGTATACTATTCATAAGGTGGTAGATTCTTTGTGGTTTTGATGGAGCTAATAATTAGTTGGACCATGAATATCAATTGTATTCTTGCCTTTACATTTCCCAGTACTGAATGCAGTCCCCTTTTTTGTTTATGTAGAGGTTTGAGATAATTCCAAAATTTGCCTACCTGTGTCTGTAGAAGAGTGCAGCACTGAAGTAGATTTAATGTACAGGTGCAATAGTAGAAAGAAACTAAATGAAGAAATTTGTAATAGAGGACTAAATAAGGAAAAGGGGAGGAAAAGCAAAATAAAGCAAATCAGAGGAAACAGTACTAAGATGATATATTTCCAGTATAAGCTGTTTCTTTTCTGTGTAAACAATGACATTAAGACATTTTGCTGGCGTAACATCCTCAGTATAAAGGGAAGGTGTTATGTGAAAAAATGCTGCTTCTGTTTTGAACTTCAGGAACTAGTGACTATAGAAGGCAAAAATTTATTCACTGCTAACATAATGTGTCAGATCCTGTGATGTATTGTAAGGCTTTTTGCAGGCTGAATCTTTTAAAAGTGCTCCAGTGTTCGTTACTATTCTTTCTAACTAAATGGGTCCAATTTAACTGTCAAAAAGGCATTTATATTCCCATTTCTCTTACAAAGCTTTAAATTTGGCACACTGTATCAGGTCCTTTTAGTTGTTTAACTTTCTTTGCTGAGACAGAAATTTTTAATCTGTTAAAAATAAATATCTTAATATTGTTGCTTTTCATTTTGTAAATGAATTGCATTCATTCTAACTGTATATGATACAATCCCAATGACTTTCAATTTTTAATAGAGGA